GCGGAGATCATGCGACTGCACTTCAGCCTGGACATCAGAGCAAGACTCCATCTCAAAACATAAAAGGAGCCGGGCGCAGTGGCTCACGCATGTAATCCCAGCTCTCAGGGAGGCAGAGGCGGGAGGATAGCTTGAGCCCAGGAGTTCAAGACCTGCCTGGGTAATATAGCGAGACCCCGTTCTCCACAAAAAGGAAAAAAAAAAAAAAGACAAAATATAAAAGGAAATCCTGAAGCTGGGCATGGCGGCTTATGCCTGTAATCCCAGCGCTTTGGAAGGCTGGAGGTGGGAGGATCACTTGAGGCCAGGAGTTCGAGACCAGCCTGGGTAACATGGTGAGACACCATCTCTACCAAAAAGAGAAGAAAGAAAGATAATAAATAAATGTATAAATATTACTCTCTGGGGTTAATGCATACCCTTCTCCCCCAAAATCAACTCTCCAAACTCCTATACTCTCCTCTCTTCTCTCTCAGCAGCCTGTTAGAACTCAAGTCAGATTTTTTGTTTTTTGAGACAGAGTCTCACTCTGTTGCCCAGGCTGGAGTGCAGTGGCACCATCTCAGCCCACTGCAACCTCTGCCTCCCAGGTTCAAGCCTGCCTGGCTCTCTCCTCACTTCTTCCAGTTCTCTTCCAAAATCATCCCCTGCCAGATGTGGTGGCACATGCCTGTAATCCTAACACTTTGAGAGGCCAAGGTGGGAGGATTGCTTCAGCTCAGGAGTTCAAGATCAGCCTGGGCAATAGCAAGACTCCATCCGTCCTAAAAAAAAAAAAAAAAAAATTTGCTGGGCATGGTGGTGAACACCTTGGGGTTCCAGCCATGCGGGAGGCTGAGGTAGGAGGATGGCTTTGAATCAGGGAGGTTGAGGCTGCAGTGAGCCATGTTCTGAATTAGATACTGGTGATGATTGTGCAACCTTTCCAATATAGGAAAAACCATTGAACTGTACATTTTCAAAGGGTAAATGTAGCCGGACACGGTGGCTCACGTCTGTAACCCCAGCACTTTTGGAGGCCGAGTTGGGGAGATCACCTGAGGCTGGGAGTTTGAGACCAGCCTGACCAACATGGAGAAACCCCATCTCTATTAAAAATATAAAAAATTAGACGGGCATGGTGGCACACACCTGTAATCCCAGCTACTCCAAAGGCTGACGCAGGAGAATTGCTTGAACCCAGGAGGCAGAGGTTGCGGTGAGCCGAGATCACACCATTGTACTGCAGCCTGGGCAACAAGAGCGAAACTCCATCTCAAAAAAAAATTAATAATTAATTAAGAAATTAGCCAGGCGTGGTGGCGGGTGCCTGGAGTCTCAGCTACTTGGGAGGCTGAGGCACGAGAATTTCTTGAACCTGCGGGGTGGAGGCTACAGTGAGCCTAGATTCCCCCACTGCACTCCAGCCTGGGCAACAGAGTGAGACTCCATCTCAAAAAAATAAATAAATAAAAGGGTAAATTTTATGGAATGTGAATTATAATTCAATCTTTCAACATGCATTAGGAAGGACATTTCAAACTCTTTTTTACCCCAGCCTTCCCTACCATCACCCAGAGTATCCAGCCAGGAGGGGAGCGGCTAGAGATACCAGAAGATTAGCAGAGAGGAGAGTGCAGGGATTTGGGGGATGAGGGGGTGGGATTCAGACCAGGGACAGGATCCAGGGATGGAGAGAAAGAGATGAGAGTGGTTTGGGGGCTTGGTGACTTAGAGAACAGAGCTGCAGGCTCAGAGGCACACAGGAGTTTCTGGGCTCACCCCGCCCCCTTCCAACCCCTCAGTTCCCATCCTCCAGCAGCTGTTTGTGTGCTGCCTCTGAAGTCCAGCCTGAACAACCTTCAGCCTGTTCCCGTCCCTAAAATGGGCAAACATTGCAAGCAGCAAACAGCAAACACACAGCCCTCCCTGCGTGCTGACCTTGGAGCTGGGGCAGAGGTCAGAGACCTCCCTGGGCCCATGCCACCTCCAACATCCACTTGACCTCTTGGATTTTGGTGGAGAGGGGCAGAGGTTGTCCTGGCGTGGTTTAGGTAGTGTGAGAGGGTCTGGGTTCAAAACCACTTGCTTAGGCCGGGCACGGTGGCTCAAGCCTGTAATCCCAGCACTTTGGGAGGCCGAGATGGGCGGATCACAGGGTCAGGAGATCGAGACCATCCTGGCTAACATGGTGAAACCCTGTCTCTACTAAAAAATACAAAAAACTAGCCGGGCGAGGTGGCGGGCGCCTGTTAGTCCCAGCTACTCGGGAGGCTGAGGGCAGGAGAAATGGGACCGTAAACCCCCCCAGGGAAGGCGGAGCTTGCAGTGAGGCTGAGATCTGGCCACTGGAACTCAGCCTGGGCGACAGATGCCGGAGCTCCTGTCTCAAAAAACAACAACAAACCAAAAAAAACAAAACGAAAACCTTGCTGGTAGGGAAGTAAGTGGCTTACGCCCCCACCCCGAAGCTCGTTTCCCATCTGTACAATGGAAATGTAAAGATGCTCACCCTGATAGCGTTTTTTGTGCAATAAGTAAATTTTTTTTGTTTTGTCTTGTTTTTGAACAGAGTCTCGCTCTGTCGCCCAGCCGCTCGGAGTGCAGTGGCATGATCTCAGCTCATTGCAGCTCCACCTCCGGTTCACGCCATTCTCCTGTCTCAGCTCTCGAGTAGCAGGGCTACAGGCGGCCCGCCACCATGCCCGGCTAATTTTTTGTATTTTTAGTAGAGACGGGGTTTCACCGTGTTAGCCAGGATGGTCTCGATCTCCTGAAACTCGTGATCTACCCACTTCGGCCTCCCAAAGTGTTGGGATTACAGGTATAAGCCACTGCGCCCGGCTTGTTTTGTTTTTTGAGACGGAGTTTCGCTCTTGTTGCCCAGGCTGGAGTGCAATGGCACAATCTCATCTCACCACAACCTCTCTACCTGCCTCAGCCTCCCAAGTAGCTGGAATTACAAGCATGTGCCACCACACCTGGCGCATTTTGTATTTTTAGCAGAGACCGGGTTTTTCCATGTTGGTCAGCCTCAGCCTCCCAAAGCGCTAGGATTACAGGCGTGAGCCACCGCAGTCGGCCGAATTTTTTTTTTTTTTTTTTTTTGAGATGGAGTCTGGCTCTGTCATCCAGGCTGGAGTGCAGTGGCACCATCTCGGCTCACTGTAACCTCTGCCTCCCCATTTCAAGCGATTCTTGCGCCTCAGCCTCCCAAGTAGCTGGGATTACCCGCCTGCGCCACCACACCTGGCTAATTTTTTCTATTTTTAACAGGGACAGGGTTTCACCAGTTGGTCAGGCTGGTCTCGAACTCCTGACCTCAAATGATCCACCCGCCCAGGCCTCCCAAAGTGCTGGGATTACAGGCGTGGGACACCATGCCTGGCCAAATTTTTATTTTTTTTCTAGAGATGGGGTCTTATTATGTTGCCCAGGCTGGTCTCAAACTCCTGGGCTCAAGCAGATCCTCCCGCCTCAGCTTCCCAAAGTGCTGTGATTACAGGTGTGAGCCACTGTGCCCAGTCAGTAGCCCCCTCTTTGCCCCTCGCCGAGTCCTACTGGATGTTCTTGGTTGGGCGACAGTTTCCCCATCTATAAAACAGAAACTCCTATAGCAGAGGAGAGGATGAGGTTGGAAAAGCAGGAGCACTGTTTTCTATTCTTGTGGGGTCAGGGAAGCAGACATCTGGGTGGATGTTTGGGGAATGTTGGGCTCAGCTGGGGAAGTAGGGGGCCCCATGGGGCTGACAGGGACTGGAAGCTCTGAGCTGGCCAGAGGGATGTTGCAATCCTGCCAGGGTCTGGTCTACGCTGTCCCTTTCACAACCACCCCCCTACCGCCAGGCTGACACGTGGTTGTGGGGGCACAAGGCCAGCCAACCTAGAGTCTGAGGCTGGGCTGAGGACACCCTCCCCACCAGCTGCCAGGGTCACTGGCGGTCAAAGGCAGCTGGTGGGGAAGGAATTGGACTCCAGCCTTGGGGGACGGATGTGGTGATGGGGGGAAGCAGGCTTGGTGCCAGGAGGGGCCTTGGAGGGTGAATAAGAGCAGACGGAGTGTTGGGGTGAGGCAAAGGGGGTGAGTCCCGGTGGAAGGGAGGAAGGGGCATACACTCAGAACTTTTCAGCTGAGGGTTTTAACTTTTTGAGATGGGGTCTCACTCTGTCCCACCAGGCTGGAGTGCAGTGGCGCAATCACAGCTCACTGCAGCCTCGAACTCCTGGGCTCAAGCAATCTTCCTACCTCAGCCTCTTAAGGAACTGGGACTACAGGTGTGCGCCACCACACCCAGCTAATTTTTGAATTTGTTTGTAGAGATGAGGTCTCCCTATGTTGCCCAGGCTGGTCTCGAACTCCTGGGCTCAAGCAATCCTCCCTCCTCAGCTTCCCAGAGCGCTGGAATTACAGGCATGAGCCACCACACCTGGCTAATGCAGGTGAGGTTTTTACAGTGTCGTCCAGCTAAGGTGACCCCCTCGCAAAAAAGGGAGACAGAACCATCAAGTTAAGAGCCCAGAGAATACCAGGGTGGTCTGGGGTGCTTCAAGGGCTGATCTGAAAGAAATTGGAGGTGGCACACAGGGTAGGAGTGCGGGGCCAACTGAGAGACCCCAGTAACATAAAGGAAGAGTTGTTGGGGCTGAGGAGGCTTTCTAAGAGAGGGGAAGTGGGGGAAAGAGGTGGTCTAGGGACATGGTGTGAATGAGGGGTGGATGAGATCACAGGGTTATTACTGGAAGGCCCCTGAGGGAAGATGTCCACAGAGACAGGACGAGGCTGTCCTCTGAGTTGAGGAAAGGGGCTATGGTAGTCTGAGGACCCCCTAGAGTCAGGGAGATTGGGAGGTGAGGGTGCTGAATGGTAAAGGGCTTTGGGGCTAAGGGAAGTGCCCGGGACCCCACCTGACCCCAACGCCCACGGGCCAGGGGCAGAGGAGAAAAACCTGGGTGGGCAGAAGGAGGCAGGCTCAGGAGGAGAGAGATCAACATCAACCTGCCCCGCCCCCTCCCCAGCCTGATAAAGGTCCTGCTGGTGGTACAGGACCTCCCAACCGAGCCCTCCAGCAAGGAGTCAGGTTGGTGCTGAGCGCTTGGGAGGGACACCAGCCTCCACTCTGCAAGAACTCAAAAAAAAGAGATGAGGGGATCATGGGAGGAAGAAAGGGAGGCACGGAGGAGGGTGCTACTGATCCCCTGCACCCCTTCCTCTGCCTCCAGAGTGCCCCTCCGGCCCCGCCATGAGGCTCTTCCTGTCGCTCCTGGTGGTGGTTCTGTCGATAGTCTTGGAAGGTAAAAGTGGGATGGGAGAATTGCGGAGTTGGACTTTTGGAAGAGTGAAGGTGGCTACAGGCCGGGGGTCCCGGCTTAGAGGACCTCTGAGAGCTCTGGGGCCCCCTCTGGGTCGTGATTGCCCCATTGTGGTCCGGTGGGTCTCCAGGTTCTCCCAGGCTCAGTTCGGCAGGCGCCAAATCTGCCCAGGAGAGCCCTAGCATCTGATGACGTATTGACGCCTACGCCTCTGGGATTGGCTGTCCTCCTTCTACCGCCTTGAAACTGGGTGATCCGGGCGAGGGGCTGTGGGAGGAGGTCAGTGCTGAGTAAGGCAATTCCCAGCGGCTTGAGCCCCACGCGGTCACTCCAGTATCCTCCCCATTCTAACCACATGATCCCCAAGGATCTCCTTATCCATCCCGGGATCCCATCCCAAGGGGGTTCCAATAACAAATTTTTGGCCGGGCAGGGTGGCTCATGCCTGTAATCTCGGCACTTTGGGAGGCCGAGGCAGGCAGATCACTTGAGGTCAGGAGTTCGAAACCAGCCTGGCCCACATGGTGAAACCCCATCTCTACTAAAAATACAAAACAATTAGCCAGTTGTGGTGGCGTGCGCTTGTAATCCCAGCTACTTGGGGAGCTGAGGCAGGAGAACTGCTTGAACTCAGGAAGTGGAGGTTGCAGTGAGCCGAGATCATAGCACTTGACACGGCAAGTCTGCGTCTCAAAAAGAAAAAAAAAAATTTTGCACCGCTGCCCATCTTCCTGGCAGGCCCAACCCCAGCCCAGGGGGTTCCAGACGTCTCCAACCCCTTTGATGTCCTGGAGGAGTTTGGAAAGACCCTGGAGGACAATGTTCGGGAATTCATCAACCTCATCACACAGAGTGAACTTCCTGCCAAGACACGGTTAGAACCCTTCCCAGGGCACAGGAGGGCTGGGGTGTGTTTTTGGGTGGAGCCCTGGAGGATGGTCCAAGATGGACAAATTGAAAAAAAAACAAGTCCCAGAGAGGCTGACAACGTCCCTCTGGTCACACAGCTAGATCTCAAGGATCTCAGACTTCAGGGACAGTTTCCCGGACTCCCATCCAGGCCACATTTTAAAAGATGGTCTTGGGCTGGGCGCCGTGGCTCATGCCTGTAATCCCAACACTTTGGGAGGCCTAGGTGGGCAGATTGCCTGAGTTCAGGAGTTCGAGACCAGCCTGGCCAACATGGTGAAACCCTGTCTCTACTAAAAATACAAAAAAATTCGCCTGACATGGTGGCATGAACCTGTAATCCCAACTACTCGGGAGGCTGAGTCAGGAGAATTGCTTGCACCAGGAAGGTGAGGGTTGCAATGAGCCAAGATGGTGCCACTGCACTCCAGCCTGGGTGACAAAGCAACATTCCGTCTAAAAAAAGAGAAAGAAAAGATGGTCTTGCTCAAGTACAATGGCTCATGCCTGTAATCCCAGGACTGTGGGAGGATTGCTGGGGCCTAGGAGTTTGAGACCTGCCTGGCTAACGTGGCGAGATCCTGTCTCTATTTTTATTTTATTTATTTATTTATTTATTTATTTTGAGATGGAGTCTCGCTCTGTCTCCCAGGCTGGAGTGCAGTGGTACCATCTCGGCTCACTGCAACCTCTACCTCCCCAGTTCAAGCAATTCTCTGCCTCAGTCTCCTGACTAGCTGGGATTACAGGCGCCTGCCACCACGTCTGGCTAATTTTTTTTGTATTTTTATTAGAGACAGGGTTTCACATCTTGGCCAGGCTGGTCTTGAACTCCTGACCTTGTGATCCGCCTGCCTCGACCTCCCAAAGTGCTGGGATTACAGGTGTGAGCCACCACACCCGGCGATCCTGTCTCTAAAAAAAAAAAAAAGCCTGGGTGCAATAGCTCACGCCTGTAAACCAGCACTTTGGGAGGCCGAGTCGGGCAGATCACCTGAAGTTGGGAGTTCAAGACCAGCCTGACCAACATGGAAAAACCCCATCTCTATTAAAAATACAAAATTAGTCGGGCATGGAGGTATATGCCTCTATTCCTAGCTACTTGGGAGGCTGAGGCAGGAGAATCACTTGAACCAGGGAGGCAGAGGTTGCAGTGAGCCGAGATCATGCCACTGCACTCCAGCCTGGGAAACAATAGCGAATCCCTGTCTCAAAAAAAAAAAAAAAAAAAAAAGATGGTCTTGTGGGGTAATGGAGGACCCAAACTTGGCCAGACCTGTGTCCCCAGGCTGGCATAGAGCCCCTTACTCCCTGTGTGATCTTAAGAGAGAGGCATTACTGTGAGCCTCAGTTTCCTTCCTGTAAAATGGTGGTTCTGAGGGGAAGTAAAGGAGAGGGTCTACAGGGTGTCTGGCACATTGTAGATGCTCAGTACATCTTTAAATCCACCCTTGCTCCCTGTGGCAAGTTAGAGAATCATTCCTTAACACATATTTATTGAGCATCTGTTAAGTGCTGGAAACTGTTTCATTGTGGGCAATAAAACAGTGAAGAACATGCCGAGCACGGTGGCTCACACCTGTAATCCCAGCACTTTGGAAGGTTTGGAAGGCTGAGGTGAGTGGGTCACTTGAGGTCAGGAGTTTGAGAACCCTGTCTCTACTAGAAATACAAAAAATTACCCAGGCATGATGGCATGTACCTGTAGTCCCAGCTACTCGGGAGGCTGAGGCAAGAGGATCCCTTGAGCCCAGGAGGTTAAGGCTGCAGTGAGCTATGTTTGTGCCACTTCACTCCAGCCTGGGCAACAGAATGAGA